AGTCGAGGGGGGGCCCGCGAAGAAGTCTGACTTTTACTCCAAGTGAGGTGGGAGCCAGGGCAGGTTCAGAGCAGAGGAGGGACGTGACCCGAGCTACGTGCTCACAGGCGCCCTCTCGCGTCTGCGAGGAGGATAGGCTGTGGGGGCCGTGGACAGATAGGCTAAGAGACCGGAGCGCAGGCGACTGTGATAGTTCAGACATGAGATGTGGTGGGTAGTTTGGTCTAGCGCGTTGGCAGCGGAGGTGGAAGAAGCGCACAGATGCAGGTCAGGTAGATTCAGCGGATGGGAAACACGGCACTGATTTTGGAGTGGATGAGTGGGAGGGGGCTGTATGGGGGAGTCCTGGGGAGGCGCAAGCTTGGAGAGAAAAAGAGACAGCCCACCTCACCCGGTGATGTGCCAGAGCAGATGGAGACTGGCCCCCTTCACGGGTATACACATGGTGGTAAGCAAGGGGCCTGGCACCGGCCCGTTCAGCTCTCTGAAGTCTCAGCTCAGGGAACAAATCTGAGCTGTTAAGAAAAACCTGGCAGGCAGAGCAAGTTCTAAACCGTTCCGTGAGAAGCCAAACCGCTCAAGGCACCAGCCTGGTGATTTCTGTCTTTCCCCACCCCTCTTTTAAGGCATTTAAAATGAAACAATGGAAAACAGAAAAGCAAGGAGAAAAATAACTTATTTCTCAGTATCTTAGTCCTGGTGACTTAAAAAATATATTTCTTAATTAAAAAATTTTGAATATGAAATACATCCGTATGTCAAAATTATACGTATAGTAAAGTTCTCTTCTATTACTTAACCCCTGTCCACCCTCCGGTTTCCCCCTTTTATACACATATGGGTAACCACCATTAGGAGATTCTTGCAAATAGACGCAAAGGCAAAAATAACAAGTCTATATCCTCACACTTTTTAACACAAAATGACAGCATGCTAACCACACTGCTATGCACAGTGCTTCTTTTCCTTAACAGTAAATTCTAGTGATCTTTTCTAGTTTCTTTTTTAAAATCATTGTAAAATATACATGATATTTACTATTTTGGTCATATTTAAGTGTACAATTCTGTTGCATTAAGTAGATTCACATTATTGTGCAACTGTCACCACCACCCATACCCAGAACTTCATCTTGCAAAACAAACTACATCCCCATTAAACACCAACTCCCTGTTCCACCTCCACTGCAGGCCTTGACACCCACCATTCTACTTTCTGTCTCTTCTATGGATTTGCCTATTTTGGACATTTTGTATAGAAATAATGCCATATAATCTTCATCTTTATGAGTCCTAGCAAACCCAGGATGGGTGGTACTGGCATTCTCCCTCATTGTACAGAAGAGGGAACTGAGGCACACAGGGGTTGATCACACCACTAGGAAGAGGTAGAGCTGGGATTTGAACCCAGGCTGTCTGATTCCCTATTCAGCAGAGAGGAAGGCAGGACAGATGGCAGGATCAGGGCTCTGAAACTGTGTGGTGTGCACACGTGTCTGTGTGTGGGGGCGGGGGCTGAGATGACAGCTGATGGACTCGGGGAGTCTCAGGCTCAGAACATGGGGCAACCCAAGATTCTGAAACCCCAAATCACCTGATTCTCTATTTTTCTTTCATGGACAAAGAAAATGTCTTTAGAAGGAGATGCAGCCACTCTGGATTCTCCCTCAGGCTCTACTGTGACACCTGGCAACTCTGGGCCCCGGAAGAGACCCACCTCCACATCATCTTCACCTGAGCCTCAGGAATTCATCACATTCCGGGCCTGCTAGGGGGACCCCTCTCTCTGTGTGTGCCCTCCGTTCAGCCCTCTCCCTGAGCTGGCTGGACTATGGAGGGCCTTCCAGCTACTTTGGGAACTTCTGGCTGCTCCTTTCTCAGGGAAGTGAACAGAAGAGATGAAGAGGACCCTTGGCCTTGGAACCGTCCTTACAGAGGAGCAGGAGTGGGAATGGGGGTGCAAGCCTTGTCCTGGAGGTTGGACAGGAAGCAGGAAGCCTCTCTTTGGATTCCCAGCTTCTCAGATCACCAGGGAAGGTGATGTGAGGGTCCCTTCTGACCCTCAGCTACGTCATTACAAAGTCTGAGCTCTCCGCACACCCCTCTGGTTTCCTCCTTCCCCTGTCACACCTGACTTGGCCAACCTGACTGGGTTTTGGGAGCATGGGTACCTGGGGGGTTATATAGTTTGTGTGCCCTGCTGGCATGCCTAAGTTATTAATAATAATGTGTTGAGCTGTTCCTAAGGCTTGTATGGAGTGTAATCCTTCAAGCCCTGGATTTCAGAGGTCCAGTCACTGATTGCTGGGTGGAAGGAGTACCACTCAACTGCACGCAGTCAGGGTGCAGGCCCTGGTGTTGGGGAGGCCCATGGAGGTGCGGGGAGGGGGACTGTGCTACGTGGGGTCTCTGCTAAAGTCCTTGCATTGGTGAGTACAGGAGGTGGAACGATGGGAGTGGGAGTAGAGGGACATTGGGGAGAATAAATAGTCAATGTCCTGGGAAAAGTGGCAACTGGAAATGGGAAGTTCCTTTGTAACCCCCCAGAGAGAACTGGGGCCCTGAAGCAGTGGAGGGAATATTTGGAGGGAAGATGTATGTGTGTGTGTGCATATGGAAAGTGGCACTTGGTCCTGATCTGCTGGATTCACTGGCCAGCCATCACTGGGGAAGGGGGAGTGAGTGGGGTGGGAAAGGGGCCAAAGGAAGGGTCCAAGAATTTTCTGTAGGGAAGAAGACGGTAAAGGGCCAAGGATAGAGGAGGAGGGCGCTGGAGAAAAGGGATGGAGATGATGGGGAAGAGAGAAGGAGCGGGTGACTGCTCCGAAAGGGGTTGCAGAGGTGTGCAGAGGCCAAATCGTCCCTCAAACTGCTTTTCCAGCCGGCGGCCTGGGGGTGGGGCCACAGGTTGGGGCGTGTCCCTGCGTCCTAGTCCCGCCCCTTACTCCGGCCCTCCTCGAGAACCGAGAGCCTGACAAAGACCGGGTGGGAGGGAGCAGGACTGGCATAGGGGCGGGGTCTCCTCGCAGCTGGACCCCGCCCCCCAGCGTGCCGCCTCACAAAGCCGGGCGGGACCAGGGGCGGAGTCCAGCCTCAGAGGCGTGTCGGAGCGGCCCGGCGTCAGGCCCGCCCCCGCCGCTCCCGTGGGTGGGGAGCCACCTCACAAGGTGCGACCGCTTGCGCGGGGCGGGGCTAGGGGCGTGTCCACAGGCCGAGTACCGCCCCCTGACGCGGGCTCCGGCCCCGCCCTCCTGGACCTCCGCAGCCTCACCGCCTTACAAAGCGCAGCGGTTCGAGCCGCGTCGCGCTGGGGGCGGGGCCCAGGACTAGGGGCGTGTCCGGGCGGCCGAGCCCCACTCCTGACGTACGCTCCCACCCGCGCGGTTGCTGGGCGGCGGAGGCACCTCACAAAGCCGCGACCGTTTGTGTGGGGCGGGGCGGGGCGAGGAGGGGCCGGCCCCGCCCCCCAGCGTGCGCCCTCTCAGAGCCCAGGGCCGCCGGCAGGGGGC